AAGGGAGGTGCAAAGCATCCTGGGATTCTGGGGGACTTTGAGTTAACTTAAATCTGGAGGGGATCTGGGACAGAAGTTCAAGAAATTGATTTTACCTAAATCAATTAAATCTGATACTACATCCATCCAGGTTTATCTTAAACTGGTTTAGGCTATTTTGAAAGCAGTTTGTGTGCACTGAACTTTTGTTGTGTTACAGATTTCAACTGGTTTCTGATCACTTATACCAGTGTATGTATAATTTCTGTCCCTAGCCCAGAAGTTCAGTGCACATAAACTGTTTGCAAAATGGCCAAAACCAGTTTAAGATAAACCTGGATAGATGTAGTATCAGATTGAACTGATTTAAGTTAAATTGGGTTACTGAACTTCTGTCCCAGATCCCTCCAGATTCAAATTAATTCACAGTTCCACAGCATCCCAGGATGCTTTGCACCTCCCCCACAAACTCCCTCTCACAGGGCGGGCAAGCTAGCCTTGGCCCAAGCTGTCTGCTTCAGTGAACAGGGAAACGTGCTCTAGCACCTCCTGGCTTCTAGCCTGGGCCACTGCAGGATTGTGACTGCATTTCCAGAATCGAAAATGGATGTCTGTTCACTTGATTGTTGGTTCAAGATACAGAGCTTAGACTAACCTGTGAAGATTTAATTGATTTAGCCTTGGGCTTTTTGACTGTCTGTACTTAATCCATATGCTGCTATATATAATGTGTACATAAGTTTAGTTGTTATTAGGGGTACAGGTTATATTGTGTCATTAATGAATGCTATCAATTACAGAAAACAAAATTCAGTATACCTTTCATATGACTTACTGGCTTCTTTGTTTGTTTTTTGTAATTAATTAACAAATATTTTCCACTTCAAAGTGCTTAAAGGACTGTAAAAAGTTCTTCAAACTCTTTTTCTTTAAGCTGTTGATCAAGTAGAAATTTTCTGTTCTAATGTAGTGGAAAATACTGTTAATAGGAGAATGTCATTCACTAGTGTAACTACTGTACCAGACACGTTCAGTATTATTTCTATTGACTAAATTCTAGATAGGAATTAATGGAGAGGATATTTGAGATTTAAATCATTGTATAAATGCTCAACACAGAGGCCCGTATTTTAATTTCAATTACAGTTGTCTTTTAATGTTATTGGAAGACGATTCTTACACTGTGAGGTTTTTTTTGAACATTGCCCTCTAAGATTGCTAGTATTTTTCATGGATGTTTCACTTTAATTGTATTCTAATGGGAGCCTAAATTGATTCAATTAAGTTAAAGTTGCTCAGTTGTGCTACTGTGAAACCTAAAAGACAAGTGGTATTTTGTTTTAGTAGTGAAAAAATAATCTACAGACATCTTGGCAGCTGTACTTAGTTCTTTGTTGTCACACTACTCAAGTTAGAAATACTGTTCCACATTTTATAAAGTCATCCTTCATGTACAGTAGGAGGGCTGGCAAATGTTAACTTAATGGAATGTTGGGATCTAGTCTCTGATCCTGACAATTGCGCCACATATGCATGGTAGGTGGTTCAGTTGCTGGGATCTGGGACCAAATCTGAATTGAACCACTGCCAGCAGACAGCCAGGGACATGAATTTTCAAGTGCCGGATGGAGATTGACTCATCCTGCCTGCCATCTGCAAACCAATTGGCTCCACTTCAGGGTCCCAGGATTGGAAAGCCTCTCCCCATTCCTGGGGTCCTGGTGCACTGGAACCTTTAAAAACTGCAGGTTACAGCCCAGCCAGTTTTCTGAAATTCTGGCACAAGGGAACCCTAGGATCAGAGATCCTCTCCCAGATTCCAAGGTCCTGGCACAAGGGGACCCCCAGATCAGGGAGCCTTTCCCCAATACAGATGTTCCTGTGTTCAGGATGTCTAAAGTGCCTTATCTGAAAAGTAGGCCTGTGTGAGTTGGCAGTGATTCGATCTGGCTTCAGATCCAGCTGCTTCTGATGGCTGCAATCCGATCCGGAGCTCTGGATTGGGTTTCTGTCTCAATCTGTCATCTTGGAATTGAGTAAATATGGTATATCTTAAAAATACTAAAGATACATAAACAATCACCTTTTAAAAGTGGTTCTTCCCTACTGAAAAAGTTGTAAAGCTCAAAGTAATAGAAGGAAAAAATATTTAAAGAAACAAACCTCTATAAATCAATTTTGTGGTACTGATTTGACAGTAAAAATGGACAAAAAAATAAAGGCCATATTTATGCAAAAAAAAAAGGCCTCCTGAAGTTTGAATACTCTCTCTCAAATGTGTTAAGCAGTTCTCCCCATCGGTCTACTTCAAGAGCCACAATGAGTTTCGATGCTCCACAAGGTGAAGATATCCCCTTATTGAATGTGCCATTGTAGATTAAAAGTTCTTTCTCTTCCCAATTCCAAGCAGAGCTTAAGAACTCTGGAGGTTACTGGTACTTCAGCTAATAGTACATTTGAGAAGCAGAGGAGTTCTGTATTATCTGTCTACTGGCTCCCCACCATTCCATTAGCTGGCGTATGGTCTGTGGGCTTGAGAGTCTATGTCTCTTGGGCTAGTGACAGACATTCAAAAACCCTGAGCATGAATTTATTCAATCTTTGCAGGCTAGTCTAACCTGGGTAGGCTGAACCAGTGAACAGACTGGATTGAAGAAACGCAGGCACGTGCCTTCAGTGACTAAGGCTAGAAGCTGGGGGTGCTAGAGCAGCCCTCCCTTCCCTTCTACAATGCTGAGCTGAGAGGGGCATGGCCAGGCCCTGGGAGGATGCTTTGATTAGGGAGGAGGCCCCCATCCCTACACTGTTGATAACAGAGCATTCAGTTACACAGGGAGTTGTTAGCATTTGTCAGCCCATCAAACAAAACAAAACAGCCTGTCTCATTAGTTCAAGCTCTTCTTAAACAACTTTTTCCAAGGAAGGAACAGAGGGACATTATCCAGCTACCTATTGATTAGCTTCCAAAAGCCCTAAGCTGACACTGTCCTGTCTGCCTTTGTCTTGTTTCCCACAGCACGGACCATAGTCAGTAGGCCTGTGCGAGTCGGCAGTGATCTGATCCGGCTTCTGATCTGGCTGCTTTGGGTGGCCGCGATCCAATCCAGAGCTTCAGACTAGGTTTCTTCCTCGATCCGGCCAAAGCAGCTCCGAAGCTTCAGAGCCGCCTCGGAGATCAGGCCATAGGGTACAATGGGGAATCAATGAAATATCTATCACTTTGTTGTTTTTTATCCAATTTGGATGAAACTTGCAGGGCGGTAGCATCTGCTGAGAGCAAGAAGCCTGCCAAGATTCAAGAAGATCAGTGCAGGAATTTGGGGGGAACTGTACCCCAAATTCTTGAAAGCCAAACTCATGTCACAGCTGTGTGTTACAACACAGGGGGGTCAAAACTGCAGGGGTGGTAGCTCTTACTGCAGCCACAAAGCCTGCCAAGTTTCAAGAAGATGGGTGCAGGGGTTTGTGGGGAACACCACCTCAAGCTGTGGACATGGGTGACACTGTGTGTGTTAAGGCACAGCAGGGTGACAGCTGCAGGGATGGTGGCCCCTGCTGAGGCCATGACGCCTGCCAGCTGTCGAGGAGATTGGTGGGGGGGTTTCTGCGGCCCTGCACACCTAGCTGCTGACAGACAAAATTTGTGCCAAGACTGTCTCTGTCTTGGGGCAGTTGACTGTCTGTATTGATTCTTTCTTCTCCTTAGCCTGGTTTTGCAGGTGCTAATTGATGCTCCTTAAGTCGTTATGTAGTAGCTAGGTCCTGTGTACTGAGCTGGTCCTGAGTCCCTGGTCTCTGAGTGAATCATGATTGATTGATTGGTAACTGGTAACACAGTAGCTTAGCAGCCAGGCCTGCAGTAGTATCTCCCCTCCCCACCCCAAGCCAGAGACAGTCAGTCCCACATGCACCCATGGCACGAGCTTTGCTTGTCCGCAGTTTGAGGTGCAGTTCTCCCCAAACCCCTGCACCTATCTCTGTGAAACTTGGCAGGCATTGTGGCCTCAGTAAGAGCTACCACCCCTGCAGCTTTTACCCCGCTATGTTGTAATGCCTAGACATGAGTTTTGCTTTCAAGAATTTGGGGTGCTGTTCGCCCCAAACACCTGCACCAATCTTCTTGAAGCTTGGCAGAATTCATCCTCTCTGCACTCTCTACCACTTCTGAAAATGTCATCCAAATAGGAGAAAAAACAAGAAATGTTATAGATATTTTATTGTTTTTCCATTATACCCTATGGCTGGGTCTCCAAGGCAGCTCCGATGCTCTTCAGAAGCTCCGAATCGCTTCGGGAAGCCTAACAAGGCCAGAGCTTTGACCCTGGTGTGCTGCTTCAGACCCTGAATTGTCCAAAGCTTCTCTGGATCCGAACCTGTGTCCAAAACCTCGCACAGCCCTACTATAAAGGGCACATCGTTTTAAAGTGCCCTGCTCCCCAGCTGCCTCAGAGCTATAGGACAAGGCAGTCAGCCTGCTGGCTAGATCTTCCTGTGATTCAGTGTTTCAAAGTTTATTTTTCCACAACCCCCACCGGGGGTTGCCAGGCATGGGGGTTACCAAGTTCCCAGCACAGGGAGCCCCTCACCTTTCCTCCCACCAAGAAAACTTGCAACCCACTCTCTAGGCAGTCCATTTCTGGCATTGGGACTCAGGCTTTCCCAGTCCCAATGCCAAACCCCACCCCATCCCAATGCTCGTGCTACTAATCCACTGATTGCCAGCATCAGCATAGGCACAACACACATTCCATATATGATACCATACAAATGATCCATAAAAATATTCTACATTTTTTGCAGAATGCCTCAGTGGCTGATTTGCCTCAACAAATTAATTGCACCTTAAATGTAACTTGTGCCGGGGGCCTGAGCCCGCACACAATTAATATCAGTATGAAGTAATTTAAAACCAGCTCTTTACCGTATGCCAGCAGTTAATTTATAAGCTATACATTTTCTAGGAGATTAACTATGGTTACTTAATAAGATGAATGTGACTTTCTTCTACCTCTTTTGAACAGCTTCAGTGCCTGGAGTGGAAACACAGATGGAAGATACTAATGACTTTGAAAGTGCATCTCAAGTAATGGGACCTGTAAGTATCCTTGCTTTATGGATGACCTTTCAAAACAACCCAGTGGATTAAGAGAGTTTGCATGTAGTAGAGATGTATATTTGACAAATGATACCTGGAAAACTAATTCAGTGCCAGTGTTGTTTCCTTCAGCCCTGCAAGAGGCATCCTCTTGAAATCAACTTTTATGTACACACTTTTATGTACCACTGACGAATAGATCCAAGGAGATGATATTTCCCCTCTATCGGGCGCTGGTCAGACTGCAGTTGGAATACTGCGTGCAGTTTTGGGCACCACACTTCAAGAGAGATGTGGATAACCTGGAGAGGGTCCAGAGAAGGGCCACTCTTATGGGTAGGGGCTTGCAGGCCAAGCCCTATGAGGAGAGACTGGGGCACCTGGACCTCTTCAGCCTCCACAAGAGAAAGTTGAGAGACGACCTTGTGGCTACCTATAAGTTCATCACGGGGGCACAGAAGGGAATTGGTGAGGTTTTATTCACCAAGGCACCCCCGGGAGTTACAAGAAATAATGGCCACAAGCTAGCAGAGAGCAGATTTAGACTAGACATTAGGAAGAACTTCTTCACAGTTAGAGTGGCCAAGGTCTGGAATGGGCTCCCAAGGGAGGTGGTGCTCTCCCCTACCCTGGGGGTCTTCAAGAGGAGGTTAGATAGGCATCTAGCTGGGGTCATCTAGACCCAGCCCTCTTTCCTGCCTTTGCAGGGGGTTGGACTCAATGATCTATTGAGGTCCCTTCCGACCCTAGAATCTATGAATCTATGATCTGCTTGCAAAACTTCCATTGAGAGCAGCCAAATCTCAACACCAGGACTCAAAGCATTCTAAGCAGCTCATTAATGTTTATATTAAAGAATATCAAATAACTATTCCCCTGTCTTAATAAGCTTTGCTTTTGCAGAAACTGATTGCAACAAAATAATCTAAATTCTAACATTAGTTATGAAACTTACAGTTAAAATCTCTACGGCAGCTCTACAAATTAAACAGATACCTTTAAACTAATAGAAAAGTGAACGATGTACCTATTTAAGTGATCTGATTAAAGGGGATCTGATTTAAAAAATAATATTAGATACAATAGTATTTTCACCAAAGTTTCTTCCTTTGAGGTATAGAGCAGTCATATAAAGTTTGTAGAAAATATAGCCATGATTAAAATTATTTGTTAAGGGCCAATATTACCAAAAATCTGGCACTAGTGCTGTGTGTAAAGACTTGAGATTTTTTCTCAAAATAAAAACTGTTAAAACCCAAAGATCTCTGTGCTATTGCTTATGTTTAGGAAGTGTCATACAATTAAATTCAGAAGTAGTAACTTTTGCTGAGTTTAGTTGTCTGAGAAACTTAGTTTCCATATATATTCTCTTTAATTCAGTTGATAAAAGGAAATTATTATCTATTTATGTAAGTGGAAAGCAAGTGCGCCAGCTGTTCTTTCGACTAAGGAAAAAAGAACCATATTATGAACACGTATTAACATATTTCTAGGTAATCAGGCAACCACCTAATAAATGCTAATAATATTTAATAACACTTATACTACCTTCCAACTGATGACATCAAAGCAATTCACAAACAAGAAGCTCAGATCCATGCCTAAGATTCTTAGAAGATCTAGGATGATATGATTAAGCTTCTGTGTACAGTTGTTAGGAATGTGAGTCAGAAGAAGAGCAGTGCTGTTGTGGATTGGCTGGAGACTTGTTATTTTTCCCAGTCATGTTCTGCTTCACAATGAACAAATGGCGAAAGTTGTAATAAATTGACTTTCATTTTCTGAACACAGGAATTTTTTTCTTATTGAATTGAACCCATTACTATCATTTTTAATTTGTCCAACTCAACCAAAAAAATAGCATGGGGAAAGAGCAAATATTTCTGTGTCTTGCTGTTTTAAATTGAATTAAATGGAGGAGGAAGGAGAAGACAGAAGGAAAAAAGATCAATTTGGATATCAAGCAAAGATTGCTGCAGCATTTTTATAACCTTATGTATTGCACATTTTAGATAGATAAAGTACTGTGTATACACATATATACCCATGTATGAATATTATTTAGTGTTCTGCTGTCAGCCACTTTGTATCTTTGTTTAATGGCCTAATCTATTGTAAGATGTTGTGCAGCGGTATCTAGGAATTCAGACATTTCTTTTCTTTCTGTTATTTTTCCAAATCTGATTCAGATGTTAATAGTTATATACTAAAATGTAGCACACTCAAAAGAAGGCAGCCAAGGAATCTGGTGAGTGAGGTTCAATTCTTGGCTCCATTGTGTGTTCTCAGGTAAGCTTCTGTGCTTCAGTTCCCCACCTGTAAAATATAGTAACAACATTCCTGTACCTCATAAAGATGTTTGGGGCATAAACAGGAAGATAGCAAGGTGCTCAGGTACTACATTAATGAGGCCATATACTAATGTAGACAAGGGGGAAAATCTGTACAATTACTTCATCAGTTTTGGAAAGTACATTTATATTTTCATATAGACTAGGAAATATGGGACCAGTTTTCTGATGGTGATTTAAGAGCTTTGTTTTCCCTATGATGAATGGAGGAAAAAAAGTCATCTTGGAATTGAGTAAATATGGTATATCTTAAAAATACTAAAGATACATACAACAATCACCTTTTAAAAGTGGTTCTTCCCTACTGAAAAAGTTGTAAAGCTCAAAGTAATAGAAGGAAAAAATATTTAAAGAAACAAACCTCTATAAATCAATTTTGTGGTACTGATTTGACAGTAAAAATGGACAAAAAAATAAAGGCCATATTTATGCAAAAAAAAAAAGGCCTCCTGAAGTTTGAATACTCTCTCTCAAATGTGTTAAGCAGTTCTCCCCATCGGTCTACTTCAAGAGCCACAATGAGTTTCGATGCTCCACAAGGTGAAGATATCCCCTTATTGAATGTGCCATTGTAGATTAAAAGTTCTTTCTCTTCCCAATTCCAAGCAGAGCTTAAGAACTCTGGAGGTTACTGGTACTTCAGCTAATAGTACATTTGAGAAGCAGAGGAGTTCTGTATTATCTGTCTACTGGCTCCCCACCATTCCATTAGCTGGCGTATGGTCTGTGGGCTTGAGAGTCTATGTCTCTTGGGCTAGTGACAGACATTCAAAAACCCTGAGCATGAATTTATTCAATCTTTGCAGGCTAGTCTAACCTGGGTAGGCTGAACCAGTGAACAGACTGGATTGAAGAAACGCAGGCACGTGCCTTCAGTGACTAAGGCTAGAAGCTGGGGGTGCTAGAGCAGCCCTCCCTTCCCTTCTACAATGCTGAGCTGAGAGGGGCATGGCCAGGCCCTGGGAGGATGCTTTGATTAGGGAGGAGGCCCCCATCCCTACACTGTTGATAACAGAGCATTCAGTTACACAGGGAGTTGTTAGCATTTGTCAGCCCATCAAACAAAACAAAACAGCCTGTCTCATTAGTTCAAGCTCTTCTTAAACAACTTTTTCCAAGGAAGGAACAGAGGGACATTATCCAGCTACCTATTGATTAGCTTCCAAAAGCCCTAAGCTGACACTGTCCTGTCTGCCTTTGTCTTGTTTCCCACAGCACGGACCATAGTCAGTAGGCCTGTGCGAGTCGGCAGTGATCTGATCCGGCTTCTGATCTGGCTGCTTTGGGTGGCCGCGATCCAATCCAGAGCTTCAGACTAGGTTTCTTCCTCGATCCGGCCAAAGCAGCTCCGAAGCTTCAGAGCCGCCTCGGAGATCAGGCCATAGGGTACAATGGGGAATCAATGAAATATCTATCACTTTGTTGTTTTTTATCCAATTTGGATGAAACTTGCAGGGCGGTAGCATCTGCTGAGAGCAAGAAGCCTGCCAAGATTCAAGAAGATCAGTGCAGGAATTTGGGGGGAACTGTACCCCAAATTCTTGAAAGCCAAACTCATGTCACAGCTGTGTGTTACAACACAGGGGGGTCAAAACTGCAGGGGTGGTAGCTCTTACTGCAGCCACAAAGCCTGCCAAGTTTCAAGAAGATGGGTGCAGGGGTTTGTGGGGAACACCACCTCAAGCTGTGGACATGGGTGACACTGTGTGTGTTAAGGCACAGCAGGGTGACAGCTGCAGGGATGGTGGCCCCTGCTGAGGCCATGACGCCTGCCAGCTGTCGAGGAGATCGGTGGGGGGGTTTCTGCGGCCCTGCACACCTAGCTGCTGACAGACAAAATTTGTGCCAAGACTGTCTCTGTCTTGGGGCAGTTGACTGTCTGTATTGATTCTTTCTTCTCCTTAGCCTGGTTTTGTAGGTGCTAATTAATGCTCCTTAAGTCGTTATGTAGTAGCCAGGTCCTGTGTATTGAGCTGGTCCCTGAGTCCCTGGTCCCTGAGTGAATCATGATTGATTGATTGATTGGTAACTGGTAACACAGTAGCTTAGCAACCAGGCCCGCAGTAGTGCCTCCCCTCCCCGCCCCAAGCCAGAGACAGTCAGTCCCACATGCACCCATGGCACGAGTTTTACTTGTCCGCAGCTTGTGGTGCAGTTCTCCCCAAACCCCTGCACCCATCTTCACGAAGCTTGGCAGGTGTTGTGGCCTCAGTAAGAGCTACCATTCCTGCAGCTTTTACCCTGCTATGTTGTAACGCCTAGACATGACATGAATTTTGCTTTCAAAAGTTTGTTGTGCCATTCCCACCAAACCCCTGCACCGATCTTTTTGAAGCTTGGCAGAATTCATCCTCTCTGCACAGTCTGCCACTTCTGAAAGTGTCATCCAAATTGGACAAAAAACAATAAGTTATAGATATTGTATTGTTTCCCCATTATACCCTATGCTCGGCTCTCCAAGGCGGCTCTGATGCTCTTTGGAAGCTCCAAAACTGCTTCAGGAAGCCTAACGAGGCCAGAGCTTTCTCCTGGGTGTGCTGCTTCAGACCCCGAAACGTCCGAAGCTTCTCTGGATCCGAAGCCCCGCACATCCCTAATAGTCAGCATGTGTTACAGTAGCTAATGCTGAGAGGTGTCTGTATAAGGCAG